GCCCGGGTGCTACATTGCACGCGGCTTTTGAAAAGCGATCGGATAATCCTTGGTTTGAAGGTTTTCGTTCATGCAGACATCGTGGATGTTGTTAATGTGCCCCATGCGGCGTGTTGCTGACTGCGTTTGGTCAGCGTGCTGGAAAATGGAACGCCGGGACCAACTGAGAGCGGTTGGCGGTGTTGGGCCGGGACTACCTGAGAGTGGGTAGCGGTCCGGGGCCGGGACTACCTGCGAGTGGGTAGCGGCCAGTTGTGTGGGGCTGGGACTACCTCAGAGTGGGTAGCGGCCAGGTGGGGCTGGGACTACCTGAGAGTGGGTAGCGGCCAAGGTGTTGGGCCGGGACTGCCTGAGAGTGGGCAGCGGCCAGTAAGAAGGACCAAGTTCCTGATTGGTTTTGGGCCAGGGTTTTTTGATAATGGATAGCGCCGAGTGAAGATACCGCTTCGTTGCGGTTGGATTTTGATTTATGTTTTGTACCTGAGTGCAGGTATTAGTGTTTGGGGTCCGTGGTCGGGACTGCCTGAGAGCGGGCAGCGGCCTTTTCCTAGCTAGACCGAGATAGGTTTTGCTAGTTTACTGTTCCATGGGTTTGCCCAGTTAGGCTTGGCTCATTCGAGGCGGAGATGCCTTTGGGTCCTGGTGAAAAGTTGCTGCTCGCCAGTCGTCCAGTAACAGCTAAGTTTGCAACAATACATTGCTGCGATTGTGTTCCTTCGTCCTTGTGTGTCTTCCTTTTTTGTATGTGTGCAATGGAAAATACGTGGAAGGCAACCTTGTTAGAGGCTGGAGTGATTTCGGCAGTTGCGGAGAAAGTGGTGGAAACATATGCCAATGAAACTGTTTTCCAAAGCTGTTTCCGCACCGAAACTGACTTGGACAAGTTCGCGAAGTCAGTGCTTCTGGGTATGACTCCCCCTATTGCCTCTGAAGAAGATTGGAGTTTCCATCCAGTGACTGGTGCCTTGCGTCGCGTGCGCGAGTCATTGTTAGCTCCCAGCACGGTTGCTGCGCCGTTATTGCCTTTGTTGCCCCTCTCGCAGCCGGCAGTTGGCATTAGCCATCGCTTGTCTGAAGCAGACAGGGAAGGTATGATCAAAAAATTCGGGGACAATTATCCAGGTGTTCATCTTCATCCAGGTGTGCTGCCTGCTTTGCCATATCTTCAGATGATTCAGCAGCAGTGTAAACAAAGTCTTGGGCCTGGACTCCCTGGAGAAAGGTTCTTTCAGAGGAAGCTATGTATGACGTGCAGCCTCGCCGCGGCGTGCGCAAGCGTGATATGGCTGAGCTTGTGGCTGAAGCGGCTGGCTTGTGTGAGGATGAGTGGGATCTGGAATTGTTCAGCGCGCCGTTGAAAATCTTTCATCTTTTGTGTGTTCGCGCTCATGCGTATTCAATGTGCTCGGTGGGACACCTGCATTCCTGGATGAAATATGTTAACCGCTTTCTTTTCCACTACACCAAGCGGCCGGGAACTGCTTTTCGTTTGATTTCCCCCACCGAGGCAGAAGAGGCGGACAAGGAAGTCATGGGCGAGGTCTTTCGCATGGTGTACCATGATGATGTCACGTTTGAAGATGCTTTGGATAGCGTTGTGCGTGAAGACTTATTGCGGCACAAGCTGTTGCATTTGCCCAAGGGGCCCACAAAGACCCCAGCCGCTGGCAAGCGGCTGCAGGACAAAGAAAAGGGAGACAGGGTGCCATTGAAGCGCCGAAAGGCAGATCCGGCCGTTAAGCGCAGCAAGTGCCATGCATGGCAAAAGGATGGCAAGTGTCGGTTTGGTGATGAGTGCAAGTTTGCACATGAGGACCGGGAGTGGCTAGGGCCAGGGTCAGGTGATGAAGCGGCTGCGGTCAGTATGCCATTGCTGGCGTCGGATTTTTATGCGGATCATGGAACTGTTGTTGCCCAGGATGCTGTGGTGCGCTCTGCTGCGTCTTCCGGTTCTGTTTTGGCAACTCAGGTACAATATGGCACTGGCAGCCAAAGGGATGCCCGCCCAGAAGCAAGTTTTGATCAGCATTGTTGCGCAGATTTGGCTCCTGCGAAAAGTTCCTCGTTGGCTTCCTTTTGTTCATCCCCATCGCAGATGGTGGTGGTCGCCTATCTACAGCATGCTGGGTTCACCCTCAGGAACCTGTAGATAGGTTGAAATATTTGCGCGGAAAGTTTTTGCATTGGATGCGGTCTTGGGGTGTTGTGCCCCGGCTTTTGAGGCATATTAGCGAAGGCTCAGAACAGCATTTGTTCTCTGAATCTGAGCAGGGGCAGCTTCAAGGTAGTCTTGCACAAGCTTTAGACACACTAGGTTTTCCTTGCAGCTGTGAGATTCCAATTCACCAGCCCTTTTTGCTGGACATTTGGCGGGCTTTGACACGTGCAACTTCTGACATGGACAAAGACTTGCCAAAGTTGTTGACAGAGGGCGTTCCCACTGGCATTCTTTCCAGCATACCTGCATCCGGTGTTTGGGATGCAGTAGAAGATTGTGATACTGAGCTCGAGAATGAATTGTGCGGCGTTCACCTTGTTCCCTGGAAAAGTGTGGTGACAATGTTGAGCTCGCGCGTGAATTGTTCATGAAAGATGTTTCTGCTGGTTTTGCTTACATTCTTCCTGGTGGTGCTGCTGAAGCAGTGCAGAAGTGGGGTTCGAATGTTGCTGCCGGTCGCCTTGGCGTTGTACAAGCTCCGGGCCGTAAACCTCGGCTGATTGGAGATGGAAGTATCAGCGGAGCAAATCGAGCTTGCATTATTCCTGAGAAAGCGCGTCTTCCTGGCTTGAGCAGCGTGCAAAGATTTTTGTCCGAGTCCGGGAGTGGTTCGGCCTGGGTTGCTCTGAGCTTTGATGTTGCTTCGGCCCACAAGCTGATTCGTGTCAAGCCTGAAGAACAGGGGCTCGGTTGTTTCGCGCTGGGTAACGATTTTTTCGTTTACCGTTCGTGCTATTTCGGTGCAAAGTATTCGGCATACTGGTGGTCTCGCGTGGGGGCCTGGCTAGTGAGGATGTTGCACAGATTTCTCTGGATTTCTCACGCCTGCTTCCTTTACGTGGATGACGGCCTGGTGTTGGTTCCTAAGGATGTTGCTCCACTTCTTGCTTCGGCCTGCTTGGCCTTTCTGACTGCTTTGGGTGTCCCTTTGAGCTGGAAGAAGGTTAAAATTGGGGGACGAGCTAGTTTGCATCGGATGGCGTTTTTGCTTTTCATCTGGTTACATACAGTTGCCGGATGACAAGTCGCAGAAAATTCTGGAAGCGTTGAGCCCTTTTTGCACCAGTGGACAGAAGGTGGACCGCAAAACTGTTGAACGTCTTATTGGTCTTTTGCTATGGTACTCGGGTGGTGCTGTGCATCTGCGGCCTTGGCTACAAGCTCTGTATCATCTGCTGTATAAACCACTCTGCGTATTCAGATCAGTTACCCCCCATCAGTTTGAGGTGCTGCGTCAACTGTTGGACACGAAGTTAGCTTTGACAGGTCACATGGAATGTTGCGATCTACAGCAAGGATGGGTGTTGCATGCTGTCGCCAACTGCGCCGTGTCTTCATTGGGTGCGGATGCCTTAGTGTCTCCACGTTTGAAGCGAGGACAGGTAGATTGTGTTTTCTACAACTACAGCAGTGTTTCTGTTCGTACAAATTTGGCATCCATGTAGGCATGCAAGCTTTTTTATAATGCTGTGGCTAAGCATCAGTCTATCCCCTTAAGACGTATTGAAGAGTCGTTCATACCTTGGGCAGCAGATGCATTTGCAACCGCATCAGTTGCTGGTGTGGGTGGCTGGTGGGCGCCTACTGCAGAGAGTGCGCGCCAAGATCAAGTTTTTTGGTTCAGCATTCAGCATTTCTTTGGGCAAGTGGAACTTGCCGGAATGGCTCATTTGTGAGAAGCTTCAATCCTACATAGCTTCATTCGAAGCTCTGGGGCAGCTTTTGCTCTTGCTAGGGCGTGTGCGTGGGATCAAGTCTCCGGCTCATCATGTGTTGCTTATGAGGCAGTTGTGCGACAATGCTGCCGTGGCCGCATCGACGCAGAAGATGCTATCATTGAAGGCGCCTCTTGGTTTTGTGTTACAGGCCATCAGTTATCATGCAGTGGCACACGGTGTGCAGCTCACCTCTGCACATTGCGCGGGAGAGCGCAATGGCTGGGCGGATGACCTCAGCCGTGGAAAGGTGTCAGGTTTTAACCCTTTGCTTCGGGTAGAATTTGATCTTATGGAGATTTTGGCTGAGCCTTGGGCCTCTTTGGGGCACTCTTGAGTGGGGATTGCTATTGGTGCCCCTTTTTTCCAGCAGGCTGCCACCTTGCAGTTAGGGGCTATGATGTGCTGGTCTCTGCTGGGGTTGTCCAGCAGAGCCAGCATGTGGCAGCTATCCATTTGAAAAAAGGGGGCGTGCATTGCAGCTTAGTGTTTGACACCTGCACTTTTCAGTGCAAGAAACAACACTACAGCTGCACTTGCATAAGCCCTTTATGGTATGTGTGTTTCAGCTGCTGCCCTGTGGATGTTTGTTCAGCAGCTTGCAGTGGATGAATGCATCGGGCTTGATCATTTGTGAAACCCCACCCTCCCAACCCCTTGTGTTGCCCAAGTGCAACTGGCTCCATGCGGGGGCTATGATGTGCTGGTCTCTGCTGGGGTTGTCCAGCAGAGCCAGCATGTGGCAGCTATCCATTTGAAAAAAGGGGGCGTGCATTGCAGCTTAGTGTTGCAGCTTTCCTTGATTGGTGGGTTTTCAGCACAGCTGCCAATCAATAAGCAAGAACGGAGACTGGCGCAAGTGCAACATTGGATCATTCATCCCAGACGAGTGAGCAGCAAGGATGACTTGTCCAGGCTGCTTGGCTTGTGGTTTGGGCAACACAGGTAAAGCCCACCCTGCGCCCCTTTTTAGCGCCGCTGTTTGCTGCTCTGCATCGCCCCTCACAAAAGTTGCAGTGTGTTGGCCTTCAACAAATTGAGGAAATGGTTCAACTGTTGGGAAAAAAATGGTGCTCGCGGCTGGTGCAAGGACTTGTGATGCGCAAGCTGGTTGGCGCTTGTCAAGTGTAGGTTCACTCGTGGTACGTGATTTGCAGCAAGCACGGCAACTGCTGGAGCAGCCGCGGCTCAAAAACGGCAAAGTTTGGCTCCGCTTCAAAGCGTGGAGCCGGACAATGGGCTTGGATAAAGCTGCTGTGCGCTCATTGCAGGTGCTGTAACAGAGCCTGCGTGCTAACCTCTTCAGCTGGGCAGGATCTCAGACAGTCTTGTCTGGTGCTGCAGATGCTTGGGCAGATGCGACAAATGCTGGCTGGGGCGGATGGTTTGAATCTTCTACTGGATTGCACTGGTTTCATGTGCCGTTGCGGCGGGAAGACGTACCAGCAGACTGGGATTTCCCCCTGTCAATGCAGAAAGCAATCTCCAGCTTGGAACTACTTGCGCAATTAGCGCTGCTATTGGCACGTGTGCGTGTGGAGGGAGCAGGCTTCAAATATCGAGCCGTGCTTCATCAGCAGTCGGACAACATGGCTGTGGTTGGCTGCTTGGCAAAAGGTTTGGCTACCAAGCCGCCCTTGGCAACGGTGCTCATGCACCTTGCGCGGCATTGCCTCAAGGCAGATTGTGCTTTGGATGTGGCGCACATCGCTGGTGAGCGCAATGAACTGGCAGACAGGCTGAGCCGGCTGAACGAAGATGAAGTCAGGCTGCCGTCGGCCGCTCTTCAAGGAAACAAAGTGGAACTTAAAGTGGCAGATTGATGAGTGATGTGCAGCTGTAGGCAGCCAAGTATGCGGTTCCACCAGTCGCGGCGTAGCGTTTGGTTTTGTGGTGTTTGTTTGGCTGTTGCTTCCTGTTTGAATTTGGGGATCCCAGGCTGAAGTTGGGGGCGGTCGATGACTGTGATCCCCGGGGTGTGGGCCGGGCACCTGTGCCTGTTTCTCCAGATGCAAAAAAGTATGAGCTGGGCGCTGATCCCTTTTGTGGTGTAGTTGGAATATAGACTAGGTCCGGTTAGTGTAACCCTAGAATCAAACCTAGTGAGTAGAGGGGTGGTTGTCTTCGGTTTGGTTGGGCTTGGGCATAGACAACCCTTCTCTCTCAATGGTCTTGTTCAAGGATGTAAAGTATTGGTATTGCTGTGGCATGGCAATTGCTGTGTGGACAGATCGCGTTTGTGTAGAATGCTTGTTATAGTGCCTGTAGAGCTTGTTGATATAGCTGTGCAAGATTGGTGCTGCTTGTGTGCATAGACACCTGCAAGGTGTGTTTGATGTTCCCACCGGGGTGTGGGCCGGGCACCTGTGCCTGTTTCTCCAGATGCAAAAAAGTATGAGCTGGGCGCTGATCCCTTTTGTGGTGTACTTGGAATATAGAGTAGGTCCGGTTAGTGTAATCCTAGAATCAAACCTAGTGAGGAGAGGTTGCATGAAAATCCCGTTGGGACTCCTCCTGCCAGGAGGATACAAACCTTATTCCTAAATGAAAAATTTGGGGTGATCCAAAATTAGCAACTGGTGTTTTGTGAACTCACGCGTTTAAATGCTTTGCCAAAACAACCTGAAAACTTTTGGAAGTTTTCTTTGAACTGGTTGTTCTTTTCCACTTGTTCATGTTTGTACTGACTGTTTAACATGTCGATGTTTTACAGTTTTCCACTTTCAACCTCTGTGTGAAACACATCTGATCTCCATATTGCATGAGAACCATTTTGGTTTAAGGGAGGGTTGTGGTGGGACCATTCGTGTATTTGTACGCGTAGATGAGCAACGGGGGTTATCGTTTGAGATGACCGTCTTTGCTCCAGACGTTTCTGTGGACGCAGATGTGCCTGAAGGCAACGACAGTTCTGCACTCAGAGAACAAGCTGCGGCTGAGAATGCAGCACTTGAAGTATTACATTGGGAATCTTTACAAGAGGAAATTGCCATTGCAGAAGATGCTGGTTCTAGGAACAATTTGTTTGCAGGCGCTTCTGCAGGATCTGGTGGTTTTGCTTCAGATGCAGATTTTCTTCAAGTTTTGCCCATATCCGACAGTGCACATGATGTCAGCGTGATAGACGGTTATTCAGCTGATAATGCATTCAGCCATGCGAGATCCAGGTTGGAGCCACAGAGAATTCAACATTTCTGGGAGTCAGGTTTTTGGAACGATTTTTTCGATCCTAGCAAGACCTTTCTCAGTTCTTTTGACAGCAACTTCAAACGTCCTGTTGATCCTGTTCATGGAGATGTTCATGAAGTCTTCGAACAACAAGTTGAACGCAAACCGAAAGCTGCAAAACTGCATGCAACGTTCATGGACCATGTCAGGGATGCTAGCATCATGAACTGGAAGGACAAGCGTGAAGCAGACTGGCAAACGGCCATATTCAGGTGGCACTCAATGCTGGGAACTTGGTCGACAGACGTTCAGGTGGTTTCACAGATTTTTGGTAGAGAAGGCTTCAAGGAACAGGCACAAGTGTTGGTTGACATCTTTTACAACAAGGCCCCATCGACTATTTTGAAACGGTGCAGGAGCATGTCAAAGATGACCAATTACTTTATTGACAGGGGTCGACAGTTTCCTTGCGGGGAGCCGGACATCTATGAGTTCTTGTGTGTTGAACGCGGCAATGGTGCTCCAAGTTCAAGGTTGAAGGGATACATAGAGGCCCTCACATTCTGTCATCATGTTTTGGGTGTTGTGGCATTCGATGACACTACATGCAGCCGACGATGTCAGGGTGTGGCAGCCTTAGATTTGAACCATAGTGTAAGGCAAGCAGACCCGCTGACTGTCAAACAACTTGAAACCTTGCACCACATTTTATTCAATGATGATGAACTGTGGAATCGAGTTTTTTGTGGCATGCTGCTCTTTTGTGCATATGCTCGATCACGGTGGAGCGACGCACAGCATGGTGAGATGCTCATCGAAGACGTGGACTCGTCGGGAGCTTGTGCTTATTTGGAAGTAGCAACGGGGGTGCATAAAACTGCAAAGGCCTTACAACTGAAACACCAATACCTTCCACTTGTGGCTCCATGTGTAGGAGTTGTCGAGGGCAATTGGGGTGAGGAGTGGTGCAATTGCAGGAAAAAACTTGGCATGCATGACTTGACAGTTTACCCCCTGATGCCAGCACCTGATGCTAGCCAAATACCAACAGTGAGACCTTTGAGTTCGACCGAGGCTGGGAGTTGGATGCGTGATCTTTTGAAAATTGACAGTTCCAACAAGCAGTTCAAAGTTACCTCACACTCACTCAAAGCGACATGCCTTAGCTATGCAGCAAAAAGAGGATGTTCTTTTGAGGACCGTCTGAGCCTTGGATACCACACCCATAATCTGAAGATGGCTCTGTGTTACTCAAGAGACGGTGCTGCACGACCATTGCGAGTCTTGGAGCAGATCCTCAAAGAGGTGAGGGAAAAGGTTTTTAACCCGGATGACACCAGAAGTGGCCGACTCAGAGTAGCTCAGAGTTTAGGCAGTGACTTGCACCAGACTGCAACAGACAACGTGATTGACAGTTTTGAGGTTGTTTCACCACTGCAACCTGTTGTTGAGACTGCTGAAAAAACAGACGGCAATGAAGCGGCTGTTGACTTTGAAGAAGTTTCGGTCAGCGACCATGCAACGACAGGCAGCGAAACGGAGAGTGACGTCGATACGACGGTAAGGCCCACTGTGTCTTTCAAGGACATCCAGGCGCCAGATGGGACCTATTTGCACCAACATGCAAAGTTGAAGACATTGCATTTGATGAAGTCTGAAAACAGACGAGTCTTTTTGTGTGGACGCACAACAAACAGCAATTACAAGATTGCTGAAGGGCGTCATGCTTTTGACACACCTAAGTGCCGTCAGTGCTTTCGTGCAAAGCTAGACTGAGACTGAGTGGCAAAACGGTGAGGTGACTTTAGTGTCTCATCATATGTTGTTTTTGCATGGAGTGTGCATACTTGGCAACAGGTTCAGGTCCCATTTGCGATGTCCATTCATTTTGTCCGTTGCTTGCAAGTGGAATTTCGATAGGTATCAGGTCAAGGTGATGTCTTGACTCTCACTCAATTTTTCATTTAGAATTTTCAGTGATTGAGTTTTTGATTACAGCTTGAAACTCAGACTTGTCGGTTGGCAATGATTCAGCTTTGCACATCGACGAGAGAGAGGTTCAAGGATGTTGGCACGTGAGCTCTCAGTGGGCCAAGTGTGCGGGACACGACTTTTGCAAGTTCAAACTCATTTTCATTTCACAAGCATCATGAGGAAACTTTTGCATGAACATGGCCTGCTGGGCAGATGTTACATTGCAAAACTCCATGATAGCCTCTTTATATGCATACTTTTTCACGTCATGGGCATGCAGAAACTTTGACACTTGTAGTTGGACTTCAGTCAGAACCAAAGCTATGGCCTTGGTAGATTCTGAAGCTGTCTTTGCAAGTCACTGCAATGCCGTTGACAAAAGCCAAGAGCTCTTGAACATTTGCGTTCGAGCTGAGCTGACAACGTTTATGCGTATGGCATTCGCAATCGGCACACCTCAGATGCCGGCGAGTGAAGAAAGTTTCAAAACATTTGCAAGTGATTTGAACGGAGGAACCGAACCTTCTATTACAATGATGTCCTTGCTGAGGAGGTTGCACTTTGAAGCAGTTACAATGGTGGTAGCGCACTTGAAAACAAACGTGACCACGGATGCTGGGGTGGAAGGGTCAAGGAAACTACCACCCGTAGAAAAGGTGGCGAGATTGCAGGAGCAACAGGCTCGTTTGAAGGGCCTTACAATCAAGGGAGAAATGCAGCCATCCTATGCCTTGATTGATTTGATATCGGGCATCCATGACAGTGGCTCAATTGTTTGGGTGCCGCCTAGCAAGTGCACAAAGCGAGACTCAGAGGTGCAACAAAGCCTCAAAGAAAAACCCACCACTTTGACTGTGGAGCAGCAGACGCTGAAGCTTGCAGCGGGCGAGCCCAAGATCAGGGCCGATACATCCAACGAACTTCTGATGCAATGGGCTTTACAGAGACGTGGATTAGCTTTTGATCAGTGCAAACTCATATCGAATGACATCCATGACAAGTGGGTACAAGCGTTGCTCATGCAGTTGACGCGGGAGTCACCGAGTGGCTATGCTAGGGTGACTATGGAGCAAATCCTACGAGCAGACAAAGAATTGCTCACCCTGATGTCGCAAGAACACACGGGGCCTTTCAATGTTGGACCCAAGGGAGAGCTGCCTTTGGATTTGTTGATGACACAGTTGATGCACGATCCTCGCATCAACTTACACTTGCTTCCTCTTCCCAGTGCGTCAGCCAGAGCAGCATCAAGTTCACATGTGGACGAAGGAGCCCCCAAGCCGTCAACGCCAAGACCTATACAGCCGAGAAAGAAAGCGCGCGCTTCTGCCAAAGCTCGTGCCAATTGCCCTGATGAGCTCAAAAGTTTTGGCCAATTTGATGACAAGGGTACTCCTATATGTTGGGCTTTCAACCAGAGCAAAGGGTGTCAAGAGGAAACAAAGGATGGCAGATGCAAGAAAGGCATGCACGTTTGTATCAAGTGCAAGCGCAACAATCACAGCTTGGTGACGTGCAGAGTGAAGAAATCCTGACTTAAGGGCAAGGGAAAACGTCGCAATAATTTTTCACCTCGTGAATTTCACCGGCGCGATGAAAACAGTCGCAACAATGATGAGCAGCCACAAGTGAACAATGACAATCGAGACGATTGCAAAGCTGCTGACAAACCTGTGGTTCAACAAGAACCTGTTTTCACTTCAGAAGATATCCCTAATGGGAGAGATTTTCACTGTGATTTCCTTCAAGGGGACAAACGTTTGGATAGAGATTCTCACTGTGACATCCCTCAAGGGGACAAACGTCTGGATGGTTTCCGACTTGATGAAGTCATGGTTTTGGAAATCTTCGCAGGCACAGCACGCCTGTCGAGAGCAGTACGAGATGTGGGAATGAGTGCAATGGCCATTGACAAAGATTCACAACGAGCACAATCTGTGCACATTGCGGCCTACGACTTAAACGAGCCCGACCAAGTCGCGGCTTTGTCTGACTTTATCGGCAAACACTCCCACATCATTTTATGGGCGCATTTTGCACCATCCTGCGGAACGGCTTCAAGAGCAAGAGGCAGACCTCTACCAAAGCTGGCAAAAATGGGCATCAAAGTGCCGCAACCTTTGCGTAGTGACAGCAAGCCCATGGGCATGGACGGCCTTTCTGGTTTGGACAAAATAAAGGCCGAGTGCGCAAACATTACATATGAGAGCACATGTGAGCTCATGCGTTTGTGCATACGGTTGGGCATTGCTGTGTCGCTGGAGAATCCCAAAAATTCTCTTTTCTGGAAAGTTCCCATGGTAGAAGCTTTTCTTTTGGAAGTTGGTGGATACAATACAATTTTTGACAACTGTTGCCATGGTGGCACGCGGAAAAAGGCCACATCCTGGTGGTCCAATGTGGACTGGTTTAAAAGCCTTGCTGCCCAGTGCGATGACTCGCACTACCATCAGAAGTGGAATGCTGAAATCATAGATGGTCGCGTGGTTTTTCCAACTCACCTGGAAGCTGCTTATCCCATTTTGTTGTGCGAACGTTTGGCAACAATTGCAAAGCTCAAGGCACTAGAGCTTGGCGCCACTGAGATACAAGACCTGGCACAGCAGATTGAACAGGCGCCTTCGTCTCAGCACAGGTTTTTATTAGACATGTTGCCAAAGGGACGCAAATTCAAACCACTGGTTTCTGAATATGGCTTCTACGACAAATGGGCAGCAGTCACAAACGTGAATTTTTCTGAACAGCAATTTTTGCACAATTTTCCCAAGGGAACAAAAATCGTGCATCGACAGTTGTACAAGGGTGTTTTTCGGGTCGATGCAAGTGAAAACAAGGACATCAAATGTCATACTTCATGCATGGCAGAACACTCTGCATATGAAATCCTGACGCTTGGCATACCACGAGAACCTGTGGACTTTTTGAACAAAGCCGTATGCGCAGGACACCCCAGGTCCATTGCCATTCATTTACCAGATGCGGTGAAAAGCGTTTTGGATCAAAATTTTGCTGGAGATGAATACCAACTCGCCAAGGAGCGTGCAAGCTTTTTGTGGAAGTGGAGCAATAGGGCAAAAGAGCTAGCCAGTGCTGAGAAACAGCTTCACGAGAGCTTGCCTGAACACTTGCGTCATTTGCTTCGGGGAAAAAGACTTCTGCTTTTGAAAGAAGTGCTTGAGGACCTGCAATACCCGGACACAAAACTCTTTGATGAAATCACTCAGGGTTTTACTTTGCATGGTTGGATGACGGAGTCAAATGTTTTTCCAAGAGAAACCAAGAGGCCGGAGTATACACTTGACATGGTGAAGAACATGGCCAAAGGCGTGAACAACATGATATATAGTCAGGTAGTGGGCACGTCGGATGACGAACTTTCTCGAAAAACTTGGGACAAAACCTTGGAAGAACTTGACAACAACTGGGTTTGGCGTGACGTGACCAGTGATGCTGGAGACGTAGTGATGGCCAAACGTTTTGGCCTACAGCAGAAAGAGAAACTGACCAGAAGCGACCGTGTCTTTTGGGACTCAATGCTTTGCCCTTCGGGGCGTCTGGTTCAGTAAGCGCTTTCTTGAGGGTCAGCATGGCTTTGTGGTTCATAGGGACGGTTGGCTTGAAACTTTGCTGGACGGTTTTCTATGATGACTTCACCTTGATATGCAAGAGACGCATGTGCCATGGGACAGGTATTGCAGCAGAAGCTCTTTTCGAACTTTTTGGAATGTGGTATGCCAAGGATGGTACCAAAGCAGTGCCTTTTGATGTTTCCGTACGTACGTTGGGACTGCATGTGACGCTTGGAAATGCAGCTAAGGGCTTTTACGTAGGCCACACTGAAGAACGTAGAGCTGAGCTGAAAGCAGCGTTGGAAGAAGTTTTGGAAAAGAAAACAATAGAACCTAAGCAGGCCGAACGTTTACGAGGCCGCATGCAATGGTTTGAAGGGTATGCTTTTGGAAGGGTGGCACAGTACAGTTTGAAAGTACTTGGCGAGCTATCTTTAAAAAGACAGAAACAGGTGACTTTGAATGACAAAGAAATGCAGGCCGTGGCATACCTTATTCAACGTGTTTCTGAAGCTCGGGCCATAGAGATTGGCCCTGTTTCCTTGGATACTTTTCTCATTTTTACAGATGGTGCCTGCGAAGGCGAGTCCTCTCGCATCGGCAGTGTGGGGGGCGTGTTGGTAGGGCCCTCTGGACGTTGCCTTCAGCACTTTTCTTCAGAGGTCCCAACTGATTTCATGCGAGAGGCGTTGGCCTGTTCTGCAAACCCCATATATGAGCTGGAGCTGTTACCAATTTACATAGCCCTCCACATTTGGGGGAAAAGGGTGCATTCCACACACTTGGTGTGCTACCTGGACAACGACGCGGCAAGAGCGGCGTTATGCAAAGGGTATGGCAGCACTGAGCTTGCCCAACGCATTGTTGGATGTGCTATGCAGCTTGAAAGTCGTTTCAAAACAAAGTCTTGGTACGCAAGGGTACCCTCACACTCTAACATCTCTGATGGTCCAAGCAGATTGGACTGTGAAGAGGTGGAGCAGTTGGGGTCGAAACAAATTGAGATAGACTGGGATATTATCCTTGAGAATCTCTTTGGAGTTTCGGGTGCATCTTCAAAAAGGGGAGAGCACGGGCACACCGAATGATCCCCAACTGCGTTGGTTAGAAAAAGGTGTGAGCAGTGAAATCCGTTCGCATCGTTTTGTTTGATTTGTAGTTTACGGATGTTTTAATTTTCATCGGAATTTATTTGGCGAGGTTTTAATTGTACGCGCGTGTTGACACAGTTGCGGTTTCAAAAAGGAATAAGTTGGGACTCCTCCTGCCAGGAGGATACAAACCTTATTCCTAAATGAAAAATTTTGAGTGATCCAAAATTAGCAACTGGTGTTTTGTGAACTCACGCGTTTAAATGCTTTGCCAAAACAACCTGAAAACTTTTGGAAGTTTTCTTTGAACTGGTTGTTCTTTTCCACTTGTTCATGTTTGTACTGACTGTTTAACATGTCGATGTTTTACAGTTTTCCACTTTCAACCTCTGTGTGAAACACATCTGATCTCCATATTGCATGAGAACCATTTTGGTTTAAGGGAGGGTTGTGGTGGGACCATTCGTGTATTTGTACGCGTAGATGACCCACCCAAACTGTTGCCAGTTTACCCACCCTTTTTCCTTCGGGTTCTATGTTACAGCCTAGCCCTAAGCCTAAGAGCACGGGCACACCGAATGATCCCCAACTGCGTTGGTTAGAAAAAGGTGTGAGCAGTGAAATCCGTTCGCATCGTTTTGTTTGATTTGTAGTTTACGGATGTTTTAATTTTCATCGGAATTTATTTGGCGAGGTTTTAATTGTACGCGCGTGTTGACACAGTTGCGGTTTCAAAAAGGAATAAAGTTTTCTGATTTTGCAGGAAGTTGGGTTAAGGTAGAAGTTGTGGGGTGTTTCAATGATTACTTTATTCAATTCTTTGTTATTTAGAACAGAGGTTCCTTCAGCAGTTGTCTTGGCTTGCCTTTTCAGATCTCTGCCGTCTGCGAGCAACGAATAGCAAGGAGCTGCATGATTCAAGCTGTACGCTTCAAAATGCTTTGTTTGTATTGGGTGGTTGGATTTCTATTTGCTTTCGATTCTTGTAGATGCGAGGCGCATCAAGCACCTTTGCTGCCGGAACTGGTGATGGCAGAGGTATTTAGAGATGAAGGTAGAGACAGACTAGTAGAAGCTTCCCCTGCTTCCTACCTATCGTTGGCTTGTGCCCAGGTCAAAATGTTGACCAGGTCTCGTCCTGAATGCTCCGAAACGGCTCCTGTATGCGTTTCCGTTGTGTTTGGGTAGGAAATCACATTGAGGCAGCGTGATGGGCTCACGGCTCACTTTTCAATCGCTCGATGTGTTTAAGCGTCATTTGGAGGGCCCCCGGAGAGACAGAGGCAAGCTTTCGAAATGCTTTGCGTAGCGCTGTGGAGGCGCTCCATTTAAATTGTTTGTTGTGCTTGCACTTGGCAGCCACTTAGCACTGTATTGTCTAGGAAGCAGCTGCCAAAGGGCGCGAAAAAAGTAACAGCGAGGAAGCTCGATGGCAAAACCTGCTGGACGCAGAAAGACAAGCAGTTCATGCGATCATTGATCAAGCGTTTGTGGGCATTTGAAGGAGGCTTGTTTAGGGCAGGTCCATGGCCCCATGTGGCAGCCTTTGCTTCGTTTATTTCCGGCAGCTTTCGACAAGATTGTGCTGAATCTGGAAGTGGCTGTTCCTTCCTTTTTGGCTTTTTAGCTTTTGACGCCTGGCTGAAACTTTTTTTTCCGTGTTGGCAATTCCACCGCTTCAGAAGGACAGGTTCAAGTAGCCTGTAGTAGCAGTTGCTTTGTGGAATCCCAAGTTCATGGCATGCCAGCTTTGGGTAAGTTTTGTTTCTGGGATATGTGATCGGGCAGGCATCAGCTCAGTTGTTTCAATGGCTATTCCAAGGTGTTTGCAACTGGCGAACAGACAAATTGCATAGCGGCAACGCTGGGGAGTGTGTGCAAGTGGGAGTCCGTGCTTGCATCTGTTCAGATTGAACTTGCACCTTGCCTTTGAAGCATCTGGAATCATTGCAGGCTGGCCTGTATGCGGCAAAATTTGACATTCAGCCGATTTTAGTCAACGCTGGCCAAGGGGCACTGGGGTGGGCTGGGATACGGCCAGTCCTCCTGACTAACCCAACTCAATATTGTTCCCCTTGCCTTGTGTGTTTTCTGTGACTGCGTGGCATGATGGTATTGTTGTTATGAGCATGTTGCTTATATTGCTATTGCTTGCTCAAGTGCAGCTGCAGATCTGCTGCTTTGGCAGCTTGGTTGGGTGAAAGGGCAGCTGCAGAAAAGCGATTTGTTGGGTTTTTGTTGTTGCGGGTCGACACGCAGGGGCGAAAAGGGGGATCCGATAGCACCCTTGGGTTGTGCGGTTGCCTAGTTTTGTTGTTTTTTTGGGGAACCTTCTCCTTTCGGTGATGATACTTGGTTTGGGTTGAATTCACAGTAGTTTCCTGGGGAACGGGGGGTAGAGCGGAGGAGTGGCTTCATGATGTCACAGTAGGGCATGTGGTGTAGGAGTGCAAGTGGGATGTGCGGTTCACTATTGTAACATACTTTTGAGATTGATCTCTTTGCTATCATGAAGGTTCATGATGTCACTGACCATGTGGATTCATGGCAGTTGTGCTAGCTGGCCACTAGCGGTTGTTTTGCGTAACGGATGGGTTGCGCGATTGGCGTAACGGATCAGTTGCGCGATACTTGGTGTTCAGTTTTCTTGAGCATTTCGTTTTCTGTTTGCTGCTGGCGGGATGGACTCCGACACTGAAGCCTCAGAGTTGGATCCTTCAGATTTGGAAGAGCGGGATTTGTGGGCAAGATTGCCTAAGAAATTCCGAGAACAGGTGGGAAAACCTGGAGTTCATTCAGTTGCCGCGTGATGAAATTTTGGGATTTTTGGTGGACAGCGAAGCAGAAGCATTAGAGTTAAGGGCTGAATTTGCATCAGATGATGGGCTTGCAGGCCGTTGCTTGGTGGAGCTTTGGACACGCGTGCTTCCTCGAACACAAAGGTTGTGCCAGCGTCGAGGGCGGGTTGACCCGGCTTTGCGATCTTTGGTTGTATCTTCTGCGGCAGCTCCATCAATAGATTGCGACGAAGCGCAGCAGACTTTGTCCTGGCTCAAATTGCAATCAGGGTCCTGCCGTCATTCCGCAGCTGGTCGGCAAGGCAGCGTGGCCAATCCGAGTGTGTGCAGACAGCAGTCCAGGGCAGATCTGGAGGCTACCGAGCTCAAGCGTTGGCGTGCCAGCCTAGCGGAGCTAGTCATTGAAGCAGACTTGCCTGTTTCCCACCATGCACAACTGACTTCTAACCCGGAAGCCATCATTGCTGCGTCGTTGGGTAGCATGCGTGCAACAACTATCCGCAAGCGGGTTCGTGAGTGGCGCAAGGTGCGTAATTTTTCCTTACAGCTATGTGGGCATGCGTGGCCAACGCATGTGGGCGTTGTCTTGGATTATCTTCACAAGCTTATGGAGGAGCCGTGCGCGCGGACAGTACCAGAGGCAGTGCTTGCAGCGTTAGCTTTCATGGAAAATGCTGGGAGCGTAGCGGCGGCAGATAGGCTTGCATCCATGCCGGTGCTGCGCAATTTTGTGAATCAAGCAACTCAAGATCTAGAGGTTGGAGCCCCACCAAAGAAATCTGCGCCACTGCTACCTGTTATTTTGATTGGTTCCTTGGAGCTGCTGGTCATGTGCAATAGCGAGCCTTTGTACGTGCTTTGGCTTGGTACAAGTTGCAACTATGGACAGCTAGCCGCACTGGAGATCTCACATCCTTGCGCCCTTCATCATTGCGCTTAACCTCTTTTGGGCTGGTTGGATGCTTGGAACGCACCAAAACCACAGGTCCCGGCAAAAGAGTCAGACATGTGCCAATTTTCATGTGTCGCTCTGCTTATTTGCTGGCCCCGGGATGGCTGGAGAAAGGTTTGGAAATTTGGGAAAGCTCTGAATTTGCTTTTGACAGGGACTATTTCTTGCCTTTGCCTTCTGCAGATTGGGCGTCTGTGCGCCCTGTTATGGCAGACTTTGCAGACACTACGGCCTTGAGCAAACGCTTGTTCCGCGCCCTAAAGCAGCCTGTAAGACAAAATGGCCACTGGGTATCTTCGATGGTGCCATTGTTTTGTGCTGAAGCAGCATTGTCCTTATGGACTGAGCACTCTGAGCGCAATTGGTTGAACAGTCACCTCGCAGTCATTGGAGTGCCGCAGTGTGAGCGCGATTTCATAGGTAGGTGGCGTATAACATCTTCGGCAGATGAATATCAGCGATTGGCACAGCGTGTGGTGATTAATGCGCAAGAGCAGCTGCTGACGTACTTTGCTGGTAATGACAAGTGGGATTTGAGTCACACAGGCGTGCAAGAGCTTGAACAATTTTTGCGCCAACGCCACGTTCCTGAAGCTCTCATTACTGCGCAATGCATTCAATTGCAGCTACCTGCGCAATGGTGTAGCCGGGTGCCGGAGCCCATGGCGCCGGCACCTGTCCTGCCGGAGCCCGCTCCTGTTCAAGCTTGCGACAATAGTCAGGTTGAAAATCCGGCTGAAGATGCAAGTCAAAGTCCTTATTTTGTGGTTGTGATTGGAAAAAAGAATTTCCGCCGGCTCCACCGGCGTGGAGGCTGTGGCGTGTCGGCAATTGAAGTAGGGCAATCAGAACCTTGCTGGTCCTTACAAGGGCTAACCTATGATTTGGCATGCCGTCACTGCTGGAAGCGTGGAAATGCTACAGTATCTGAGGCTGAAGAGGCCGATGATTCTGAGGATTCGGATGAATCCGTTGAGGGTTGAATACCGCTCCAAGAAGCGCCTCTAGCGTGTGTAGGGGTAGGTAGATATTATTAGGAGATGTCGGCAAGCTTGGGAGGAGAATCTCCTGGTGAAGCTTGTGTCGTTTGTGCGAGTCAGTCGCATGTACCCGTTTGGCGATGTTGGGTCGCTGTTGGTGTCAGCGCAATGCGTCTGGCATGAGAAACGTTTTTGCGAGTCTGTCGCATGTTATGGCCACGTGGTGTGTAGCTTGACACACGATGATCTCAAGGGAGCACCCTAAAGCATCTAAGAATTTTAGATTTGATTCAGGGCCCTTGTGGAGGCTGCGGTTGGTGATTCTGCCGTGTGATGGTAGATGTGACGGCTTTGCAGGGACTGTAATTTGGTAGGTCGTTTTGGACTTATCGTTTCAAAGTGAAGGGTCCTTGCATGTGTCCTCTTAGCCGCCGCGTCCGCAGCCATTTGTGTTTGCCAGCTTGGGTGTTTTGCCGAAGATTCGCAATTTTCCTTGCTTGTCTTTCTTGAAAATGCCAGCAGCGGCCGAGCCTCGGGATAGCGTCTTTGCAAAGGCAGAGCCTGCTTTGAGGTATCATATGGATGAGGCTGGTGTTTCTGCTGAGACGCAGAAGAAAATTTATGAGCAGGGCAAGACTTTTGCAAGTTTGGAGGAAGACCGCAAGGCTGTCCGAGCTGTCCTGCAATCGGACTTTGGCTTGGATCCTTCGGGCAACCTTGCCTTGCGCTCAGACATTGCGCTGTTGCTTTGCGTGTGGGAAAGCGTACGCACACAGTTGTCAGTGCAGGAGAAGAATCGCCAAGAGCCCAAGCTTGGGATGCAACAGCGCATTGTGCAGCCATCGGATTATGCCACCATGAGGAGTGCCGTGGAAGCCAAGCATGGAAGGTTGAAGGATCGTGAGGCCCCGAGCAAAGGCATGATTGCATCCAAGCTTGAGCAAGTGGAAGATGGCGCGCCCATCGCAGAAGATCTTCGCGAAGTCACATCATTTGCTGACTCAGAAGTTGAAGCATACAATGCCATCATTGACCCATCAATGGTTTTTTTGCGCATTCGCCCTGGCAAGACCACTACAACCCCGCCTGCCACACCGGAGGAGGTGCCGCTCCGCCACAGGCGCATTGGCCTTGCTTGGGATTTTGTGAAAGCGCGCCATTCCACTCGTGCTTGGTTGCCCACATCGTCAGTTGACACTTTTCGTAAGTCGTCAGACTATGTCTTGGATGCATCAGTGGCTGGCCTGCGCACCTCCGACCAACGCAGTCCTACTTGGTCGCTGGTGCTGACATATGAGCTGGAGTTGCGCAAGGCAGCTTACCGCTTTGCGCGGGATGGAGAGTGCGCATGCATTGATTCAGCTATTGAGAAAGCTATGGATAGCCCAAAATTGTTGACAGAGCATTTGTCGTCGCTTTCACCCTGGGAAAGTCGGTTTCACCTGCCAATGGTGGGTCAGCAAACGACAAAGCCAGTGACATGGGCGGCAAGCTGATGCCGTCGTGGGACAGGCAATGGGGCAAAGCATCCAAAACACCGGCAGGAAAGCCTATTTGTTTCAAGTATCAGAAAGGCAAGTGCCTTAAAGAAGTCTTGTCGATTTGCGCATGTTTGCCAGCGATGTTTTGGCCGCCACCCCTTTTTGCAGTGCGTCAAGAAGGAGCTTGGAAATGGGCAGGCGCCGGAGCAGGCTGCCTCGTCACTATCTGTTGAAGAAGTTTCGGCGCCCCAAGCGACGCCTGGGGTGGGGGCTGAGGTTGCGCGCTTGGGGCTTGAGAAGCGCAGCTGTGATTTACTTGAGGCTAATGACGACTGGGCTTGGGAGCGAACAGGGGAGCAGGCATGGGAGAAATGCGACATGCAAGTTCAGGAAGTGAGCTCAAATGAAGATGAGGTTATATTATATTATATTATATATTATATTATATTATATTATATTATATGTTGTGAAGCCAAAGAAGGGTGGGCCGCCGCTTGCTTCGAGACTTTTGGGAAAAAGGCAGGAATTTCATGACAAGTGACACTACCCCCCCTGACACTACCCCCCTCAAAATAATAGCTTATTCTGAAAATCCAAGTTCCTCGGATTTATGTTTGTTCAGTGCTTATTCTGGGGTGTTTGTTTGTTGTAAAAACAAAGAGGCTTATTCTGACCTCAGAATAAGCATTTAGCAAGGCACCTAAAAGTGATAAACCCTAATTAGGGCTAATCACTTTTTTGGATGTTTTTCGCGCCCAAAAAAGTGATTAGCCCTAATTAAGGCTTATCACTTTTTTAAGTCTTTGGCAGCTAAATGAATTTCAGGCTGCTTTAGCAAATTCTTTCCCATGCCTCGCCGGCCTTTTTGGTTTTGCTCTTGCAAAACAGCAGCTCAAAAAAACTGGTGTGCGCTTTCTAGTTGGACAAAATGTATTGGTTTGTTTGCTCAACCAATGCCTCGGTTTTTGCGGTTGTCAAGTTTTCTCACTTGATCTACCAACAAATTGGGGACAACTTTTGTTGCAACATGTTGCATGTTCAAGTAGGCCAAGAAAAGAATAGAGCGCACCGATTAGTGCGGGTGGCTGAAGAGGATTGGGGGTTGCAAGCTTGCAAGACAGGCGTGCGTCCCGATCGCATTTGGATCAATACAGTGGGCACATTTGGCATAGGAAGCGCTGCGTATTATTGGAGTAGGCTCATGGCAGGTATCGGTCGTGCTGCATTTTACATGTTAGGTCAGAGCGAGTCGAGTTGTTCATGCTAGTCTATGTAGACGATATGCTATGGATCACGCGTGACAAAATGGGCATTGAAAAGACTATCTTGATCATCTACTTCATGACGGTACTGGGCTTGCCTTTCGCTTGGAAAAAAAATCAAAGGTGGTGTGGACCTGGCATGGGTCGGGTTTGAAATCAGCTTGAAAGGCAGTAAGCTGGGCCTGTCAGTGGCACGGTCGCAATGGTTGGTCAAGTGGCTTAGTGAAACAGCTGATACAGGTCGCGTGCGCGTGGCAGATATGTCGGCAGTGTCGGGCCGGCTCTCATTTGGATTGACGGCGCTAGGTCACTTGAGGCCGTTTCTTGGGCCGGTGTACGCTTGGACAGCAGCTATGACTGGGAAGGTCATTTGGGGGCAGCTGCCAAAGGCGATCATCCTCATCTTCAGGTTTTTGGCAAAGGCGTTAGCGGGCAGTGGGCGACTGGTTTCAGTGCCACCGGCGCCGGGAGAGCGAGTAGAGCTTTTCCGGACAGATGCACGCGCCGAAGGCAATGAGATCTGGATTGGAGGCTGGGCGTTGGACAGTTCTGACACGAAGCAGTGTAGGTGGTTTTCTGAAAAACTGTGTCATGCTAACGCCCCGTGGCTTTTTACAGCTGGTGAAGGTTACAGGCAGATCGCATCGCTAGAGTTGCTAGCTACCTTGGCCGCAGTCCTTGTGTTTGGGGTGCCTGTAAACATGCGCAGCAAGATGCACTGCTCAGCGGGTACTGACAACAAAGGGAACAGTCATGTAGTGGCACGGCTTCTAACAACAAAGTTTCCCCTTGCAGCCTTTCTGATGGAACTTGCAATGCAGCTACAGTGCGTAGGCGCAGATCTGGAACTCTACTGGCTACCGCGGCTTCAAAGCCAAGAAGCTGACGCGTTGACCAACGATGACTTGACGAGGTTTGATGAACGGCTGCGCATGAGCTTTGACTTGTCAACCTTCAAAGGCTTGATACTGTCAGATATGCTGGCATGTGGAACAGAGCTGTATGAGGAGATCAGGGCAGCGCAGCGGCGCAAAACAGAACGCCATGGACAACGTGGCAGGAAGTCGGACGCCCTCCGGGTAGCGCAGCCATGGGGTTGAAAAAAAGAAGGCACGGGGGAGGGCGTGCAGGATTGGAGCCACGTCGCTTGGTTTTCAACATGGGAGTTTTAGGGACAGCGGCGTGGCTGATAACGTTTGACCGTGGTTGACGGTTGTGTTGAACTGCATGGTTTGATTGTGCAGTGATTTGTTCTGCATGATTTACATGTGCAGAAATTCTTCCACCACACCTCCGAATGAAAACAGAGCGCCAGCTCCGGTTTGTTCACCAGGGTTTGCTGAGTTAGGACAACATTCCTGTGATGATGGATCCCTTGGTTCGGAGAATCTGAATGAAACGTTCTTCCTTATGGACTTATTGGTTGTAACTTGGACTGGGAATACCCGTGTCAGGGTTGCTAGGAGCACTGTGCGGTAGGATCCCGCGGGTCGACACGCAGGGGCGAAAAGGGGGATCCGATAGCACCCTTGGGTTGTGCGGTTGCCTAGTTTTGTTGTTTTTTTGGGGAACCTTCTCCTTTCGGTGATGATACTTGGTTTGGGTTGAATTCACAGTAGTTTCCTTGGGAACGGGGGGTAGAGCGGAGGAGTGGCTTCATGATGTCACAGTAGGGCATGTGGTGTAGGAGTGCAAGTGGGATGTGCGGCTCACTATGTAGTGAGTTTCTCTACGAGAAACTCTCCCTTATTTGCACACGCAACATTTTATGAGCAAAACAGTTTTGAGTGTTTGTGTGAGAAACCGCGTTTTACAACAAACTCCTTTTTGCTCATGCGCAGTCGATTTTTTGTCAAACCAAAATTTTGGGAGAAGATGAATTTTATGTTTCGTCCGAAAATATCCATCTCAAGGGTAGGGTGGGAGGGTTTTCACCTCTTTTGACGGATTTTTTTCGTCTTTCATGGGGGTAGGCGCTGTGCTGGTAGTTCCATGGATGATTCTGGAGCATTTCACTCTGGCCACTCTGGTGAGAAGAATCGTGATGCACTGCCGTCTTCAGATGAGTTTGTTAGCTTCATGGATGATCTGAACAAACGCACTGATTTTACAGAGGTACCAGGTCCTACGACAGTTGCTTCAGAAGAGTTGCATGACAAGCACGGGCCTCAACATTTCGGTGTTGTCATTCCGGCGAACAGTTCTGGTAGCCGTGGTGAGCCCACTGTTAACTTTGACAATGCTCTGAATGTTGCCTTCAATTCAACTGTTTAGGAACAGCCGAAACAGATTTGGGAAACGGGCATTTGGAAATATATTCTTGGAAACGATGATTCAGAACTGGATTTCGATGTTTGGGGGCGACCACTCGAGAGGCCTATCCCTGCTGTGTGGGGCGTCGATCATAGTTCCCTGGACAAGGAGCCCACTGGTGTTTTGAAACGCAGTCGTTTTCAGAGTTGTAATTTCATGGATGTTGTCTCATTCAAACCAGATGTCCCTTGGCGAGACCAAAGGGAAGCTGACCTACAGAGGGGCATCAAGCTTTGGATTGCAGTCACAAGCAGGTGGGATGATGGTTGCACTCTGGTTTGCAGACTGGGTGAGATGCGCAACGAGGCCGAAGTCTTCGACATGTTTGCACATGTTTTTTCAGGAAGGGCGCCAGTGACAGTTCGGAAGAGGGGCATGGCAATTTTGAAGCTGTGTGACTACCTGGAAGAAAACAACCTGGAGCGTTTTCCCATGAAGGAGCTCACTTGTTACAGGTTCATGTATCTGCAACAATCTGAGGGTGCACCTGCTAGCAGGCTTCAGGGCATGATCCAGGCTTGACGTTTTGTCGACATGTGCTTGACGTCGTGGAGTTGCAAGAGGTGTTGGACAGCAAAAGATGCCAAGGGGTGTCGCGTGAAAAACATTTCCGAAAGAGCGCAAGCAGGCTAGTCCACTGACCGTTGCAGAGCTTTTGAAGCTGCACGCAACAGTTGACGAAGCTACAGATGTTTGGGATGCAGTTTTTGCTGGAGCTGCCCTGCTTTGTTGCTGCTGCCGAGGCAGGTGGGGAGACCTGATGAGAAGTGAGTCGGCCTTCTTGGATACCGACGAGAATGGTGCTCCGGCTTTCTTGGAGACCAGAACTGGGCGACACAAAACCATGAGTTCACAGATGCACAGACATCAATTCCTGCCCATGGTAGCCCCTGTGAAAGGGGTGCATGGCTGTGATTGGTCATCGCCTTGGATCAAGCGCCGACAAGAGCTTGGTCTGACGTTTCCTCCTAGTGGCTTGATCATGCCAGCCCCTGATCGTGAAGGATCTGCAACTCAACGACCCTTGGAGTCAGGGGAATGCGGCAAATGGCTGAGACGTTTGCTTTGTGCAGAAGATGCCGTGGGAGCAGCTGCAGAACGGCGCATCAGTAGCCACAGCCTCAAATGCACCATGCTTTCATTTGCAGCAAAACGTGGACTTTTCCATTCCAGACAGACTGATGTTGGGCTATCATAGTTCACAGATGCACATGGCCATGGTGTACTCACGTGATGGCGCAGCTGCTAGTTTGCTTTTGTTAGAGAAGTTGATTGATGAGATTTCAAAGGAACATTCAGACCTGACAGCACTCGAAGTGGGCGACTCGTGGAGTTGCTGCCAGACCCGTCTGGCCCTCAAAGTGCTGAAGTGAAGGTTGAAACAGTCATGTCATCAGCAGAAGAAGAAAGTGACAAAGCAGTTGAATCTGAATCGTCCGACAGCACGGGCGAGTCAGGGTCTTCGGAGAGTGATGTTCCCAAGGACCACAGTTTCAATAAGGTGTTTGCACCGCCTCGGCCGCCTGCAGGGTTCATCAGATGGCAACACTCAAAACTCAAGACTGTGCACTTGACTGGACCTGGATACTGTAAGGTGTTCGTGTGCGGTAGGCCAGTAGGAAGCTTTCACAAACAGGTTGATGAGGACCCAAGGTTCGACTCACCGATTTGCTGGGCATGTTTCAACAAAGCTTCAGGAGATTGATGCCTTGTTTTTCACAGTCTGCCGATGCCTGTCCATGTTTTCGTGCAAGCTGTTCTTTTCAGTTGCTGTCACGTGTGAGTAGGGGCAGGGGACCTGGCAGATTGTGCAGGGTTCAGAAACTCAGTGGAAGCTGTCTTGGACGTCAGTCATTGTTTCAACATGTTTTCAATTTGCATGGACTTTGATTCAGAAACAGTTGTCAACGAATGTCAACGATTTGAACAATTTTTTGCATGGACATTTCTTACCCGAGCTGATGCCAGTGCAGTTACTGAGACAGGGGCGAGGGGGCCTAATAAGTGGTCCGGCGCCTTCAGAGTTTCATGCATGCACGTGTTGGCAAGTCAACCAAGTCATACATGTGGTGCGAGTTTCAACTTGCAATGGAACATTCAAGCATTGCTGAATAACAGTGTGATGCTTAGCGAGCAGCCTGGTCAGCGTGCCACTTCGTGAACGAGACGGGCCGCTAGCCGGGTAGGAATGTCTGGACCTCGACTAGGTTTAAGTTTGCGTTAGTGCAGCATTTACTTGTGGAATTTTAAGTGAAGCATTTTCACAATCCGCAAAATCATTCAGTTTTGCATTTCATTGCTTGTCATGTCAGAGCGTTTCATACAATTGAGAGTCTTGACATTTGTTTCAGCTTGACTTTTGACTGGCGATCCGTGGTCGAGACCCCAAGCCGTTGTCAGAGAGTGCAGTGGTTTTCGTGTTCGTTGTTTGCTCTTTTTGCATTGGCGGTGCAGCTTTTGCTTTGAACGAATCAACACTGTCACTGTACTGAGTAAACTGATGGGGATACGACACTCACGGTTGCAGTCAGCGTTGTATGAACCACCATACATGCTTGGAGCTTGGACACTGCTTGAGACCTAAAAAACTGCGACATCGCGGTTGAGGGACGACAGTTGTCAGCATGAAGCATTTGTCAGACGATTTTCATTCTGCATCATTTGATGTCTGAGTGCATGTTTGTGATGTCAACATGTCTTCATGGATTTGGGTTGACATCAACGCATCGGACCAGAGCAGTGGAGAGGCTCACCAGCGTGACAAGGTCAGTGCTTGAGCTGAACACTCATGAACACATGTCAGGCATACTTTTGTTTTAAGGGCGAGTAGAAGGAGATGTGTTTGCAACATCACTTCACAGCCAAACAGCCGAGACATGGATATTCCTATTGTTTCATTGGAACCCAAACGGCAGAATGCATCCGTTGGGCTTCGTCAAATTTCAGTTTAGTACCAGACACGAGAAGTTGCGTAGGTGGTCGAAAACTTTTCGAAACGATTTCATTCACTCATGATTCACGAGGACTTGTTTTCACAGTTTGATAGAGCGCGCGCGTGTAGATCATGGCTCTGGTGGAAAGCAATGCTGCCTTTCTGCAGCTGTGCAATGAAATTCACGCAACAGGGAATTTTAGCAATGCATTGGCGGCTCAGAACATTGGAACATTCAGTGCAATGGCGTTTTCTCTTGGAACGCCACAGACGCCACCAACTGACCAACAGTTTGACAACCTTGCCGTGGCAGTGTTTAGGTTAGTCGGTGACAGTTCAATTTCAAACGTAAATGGCTTGTGTCGAATCAGAGAGAAAATTGAACTCCCTGGGATCTCTAGCATTGGGGGCCTTCGTTTCTCGGCATGCGCATCAAGATTGGATCGCTTTCAGCTTGGATTTCAACAAATCACACAAACGCGTAAAAATTCACCCGTCAGAACAGGTTGCGACTCAGCGTGCTGATGTAACCTTATTCCTTGCGGTAAGAAAAAGAAGCTGAGAGCAGCTTCTAGGTGATCCTTCTTCTCCCCGTTCCCTTTTCCTTCTCTTGCGTTGTGCGCTTTGCGTTTCCTCCTTCCTCTGCGTTGCGTCGCGGTGGAAACTTCTGACCTGAGGAAACTTCTGAGTTGGGGGATTACTTGCAGATAGTCTATCTGCTGTGCGTTTGAATGCAAACGTTCTCTGCAATCTGCTTATGTATTTTTATGTTATGACTCTTCAGTGAATCTGTCTCCCCAACTTTGTTTCAGTTTTTCAGCTTGGTGTTTTTTGGTAAACATCTGCTGAATCTTTTTCACAAAGGTGTATTTTGAACTAAATGCCAATGGTGGCCATTTCAAGTTCAATACCTCCAAAGGGAGGGTGGGAGGGTTCGACGTTTCTTACGTGATTCGTTTTTGTGCAGCTATGGGTGGTTGATGGCACCCTCCTCAGGAAGGGACATGTAGTTGTATGTCCCTCCCTGATGAGGGGTCAGTGGAATTCATGGGCATCCTGGAGGAGTTGGACAGGTACAGAGGGCACAATTAAGATGTGCGTAAATGATCTTGGAATCTTTCCTATCATACTTGAATCACCCTTGGGCGTGACCAATTGAACCTGGTGCACAACGTGTACCAGTTCCGAATGGCCAAACCCTGAGCACCAGGATTCGAATAGGCACTACTGGATGAATCACCCTTAGGTCCCGACCTGGGGTGGTGATGGCACTTCGTTTTGACTTGGATGACAGGTACGACAATTTGACTGAATTTCAAATTTCAACATTACATGGTGTCTTTGGGATTACAGTGAATTTTCATGCATCTGTGTTTTCTCCTTTTTGTCCATCAGTGACTTGCGTGTTTTCTGCTGTACAACTTATTGTATCAGTGTGGAACTCGGGGACATCCTGGAGGAATTGGACAGGTACAGAGAGTACAATGAAGATGAGCGCAGATGATCTTGGAAATTTTTCTCGCATGCTTGACAATGCAAACGAGTGCAACATTTCACTCCTGGTGTTAAACGTTCAGGAATTGAATCAGGCACCACCGTATGAATCACCCTCGGGTCTTGACCTTGTAATCTTTTTGGACTGGATGCAATTCAATCAGGTGCTGAAGAATTTGAATCTCATGCTGATGTTGTGCCACAGCCTGCATCATGCGTTGACACACCCTTCTCAAAGAGCAGATGTTAACAAGGCTCTTTTTGAGGCCAGGCTTCAGAGTTTGGATGACACGGGGTTAAAGTACCCTTGGGAATCTGGTGTGATGGGTGACTTTTCTGAAACCAATGATGCAGCTGGCTTACCAACATTACCTATAGAGTATCTGAGCTTTACGGAACAGTTGTATTCCACTGCAACAGCTTCTGCACCTCGGTCTACATTGCAGAGGGTTTCTGGTCGGGACCTGGAGCTGCCGTTTTATTCATTTTGCAATCAAAGTCAAACCAGACAAGGACATGTTTGCTGAGCAGGAGGTAGTGTGGACTAGGGCCATCGACAAATGGTTACAGGTCTTTGAGGTTCTTGGTTTTCCTGGGCAGTTAGGAGCTGCATTGGATAACGAGCTGCATTTTGCAGATCCTGCAGAACATGGTGTGGTCCTGAGAGATGCCCTGGTGTCAAATCTCCTTGAACTGCTGTCAAGAGAGCACAGACGTTATTGCAATATTTTAGACGGTTGCATGATTCCCGCATGATTGGGAGCCCTGGGAAAAGATCGCACTGTTTGGAGTATTTAGACACGATTGACAAGTATATGCTTGGAGCAGTTTTATTTGCAAATTTTCACGGTCCAGGTGGTCGGATTTACAGTTCATTCATCACATGTGGGTTGACAGGAATGTGTACGTAGGTCAGTTTTTGGCTTCAATGAAACAGAGACCTCATTCCGCAAGATGCAACTTCCTTGACGAAGAAGATGCGTTTTCCTGCCGGTCGCGTGTCCATCCAGAGGATTACAGAGGTAGACTTGACATCTATGTGGCTGGAGACCTTTTGCGCTGCTACATGTGGACTTGGATGATTGCCCCTTTGGGCCTATTTGCAGGGCACTTGGAACCGATGGTTACCTTTGCAAAAGATCATGCACTTCTGATGAGAATTCTGCATTTATCAACAAAGTTTTTAAGAGCGCAGAATCCGACAAGTCGACATCACACAGTTTCAAGCACACAACATTGAGCTGGGCGAGTTCTTATGGCATAGACGAGCCGTCCCGAACATTGCTGGGGCACCATGAGCTGACAGGGTGATCGTTAGATGGCAGTGTACTCAAGGTATATGCTGACACGCCCATTGCAGTCGTATTATTAAAAAAAATATATCAGAGGAGACCATTTTAGGCCAGTTGAATCAAGAATTTCGAGGATGTTGGATTTGATGAAAATTCAACAGGGGAAACGGCTGGAAAGGATTTGGATGCAGCTTTGAAATCGGTTGCAGCGGACAAGGATCATCGCTTGGAGACAGATGATGAAGTGGCTCCCACTACGCCGCTTGGTGATGCTTGTTCATCTGTCAGAGGGATGATTTCATCGAAGGTCCAGTCCTCAGGAACATCAAGTCACATGTTGTGCACAAGGGTTCAACTGTGGATGGCAGAACCCTTTTGTAACAGACCGACCTCGGCTGCCACTTTTGAGTTCTTAACAGAAGGCTGCTCAACCTTGAACGCGAGATGCTGCCGTGTTTCAAGGGCCAAGCTTTTTCTACACCTGCTGCAATGGCAGAGGCGCTTGATGTGGCAAAGGCCAAGCGTGTCAAGCGAACTTGAACCTTTTTGTCAAGTGGAAAGTGTGCTGCCGATTTCATCGATCATGGCATATGTTTTTTTTACGGACGGCAAACTTGATGTTTCTGATTTGTCGTTTGAGTTTTGACTTGTTGAATGCAACTTGTCACTTTCGAAATTTTATCAGGGAATCATCACAGTTTGGCTGAGAGCAGTCAACATTGGAGATCGTGATGTGCATAACAGTTGATAGCAACTGTCGGGGAACATGCATTGAGTTGAAAGCAACATGCATTCTTGATGCCCAAAGGAGCTTAGCAGCGAATGCGCTACTTTGACAAAGGTCAACTGTTTGTGTGTTAGCATGTAATCATATACAGAAATTTCCGTCATGATTGCATGTTTTCTTTGGGAACTTTTCCCTGTTTGCAGAAGGAATGGAGTGTTTCAAGTTTTGACAAGAATGTGTCTCAGAAACATTTTTACAAGTACTGCAATCACGCAACTGACGATCGCTCGCTGATGGCTCTTTCCGCACTGCTGGATTCAGAGGCGACTTTCGCCCAACAGGCTGAGGAATGCGGGCTATCTGAACCATGGATCACTGCGTTGAAGGACAATGGGGTGGCCACCTTTGCAATGTTGAGTTTTGAAATTACAAGTCCAGGAACAGTTGCATCTGATCAAGTGACGTGCCTCCTGAACAATATGAGGCCAGGTGTTGTGGCCACCATAGCAGATTTTGTTGTCGTCAAGCGAGTCCTTTTTGAGAGCCAGACCCTCTTGATCCATCGCTTCAAGTCAGCGGCCGAAGGGGATGACACTGTCCCTAAGAAGATGTCAGCCCCAGAGCATGACGCAAGGCTGACTCGTCAGCGAGACCAACTTCGAGGTTCGGACATCACTGGATCCTTGGAGCCGGCACATGAGCTCTACGATCTTTGTGCAAGATGGTTGAACGTAATGAGGTGGCTTACATCAGCCCTTCCAAGTGTTTGTCAAGGCAGCAGGAACTGACGATGCAAACAAAGTGGACAAGAAGCGGCAGGATACAGGAAATGCAGAGAAACCTCAACCAAATAAGTTTCATAAAGGATCAAAAGCCAAGGGCAAGGGAAAAAGCAAGAAGCGTAAGCCCGTGCCATCAGGCCGGAAGGGAATGCACTCCAGGACAGCCAAAGGGGATCAGATTTGTTACGGTTACAACCTTGGGACATGCAAGCAGGGATCGGCATGCCCACGCAAGCATGTTTGCATGTTTGTGCTGTGCCAGGGTGCTACAAAAATCATCCTCAGACGGAGCATCAATGACTCCGTGCTCAAAGTGTTTCATCCAATTCAGCGACAAAACGGCCGATCCAACATGTGGATAATGGACTTGCCGAGAACTTGACGCACGCTAAACCTGATTTTGGGTCGAGCGGTTATTTCTGCATTGCACTATTTTGCGGCTCAGGTTATTTGTTTGGATTTGACGCGGGAGGACCATCAGAAGCTGGTCACTGTCTGGAGAACTTCAGGTAAATGCTTGTGGATGCATTTCGGCGAATCCTGTGGGACTGCACCAAAAGTAAGGCTCAAGCGCAAAAAGCATCACAGTCCACCACCTTTGAGGAGTCCACGCTGGCCAAATGGACTACCAGGAGTTTGTGGTGTAGACCTTGCACGACTCATGCGGCCCACAGACCTTACAGGTTCATGTCTGAGCTTAATTTTGAGTTGGACAGGTTAAACATCACATGGACTGTAGAAAAACCCTTGGACGAGTTTAATGTGGCTAACAAGTTATTGGGTTGAGGTGGACACGAAGTTGAAGCCATACTATTGTGAACTGCACAATTGCATGTTTGGTGGCTTGCGTCTGAAGCGCACCTGCCTGGCCTCCAATAGCAAGGCGATCATGGCTTTGAACATTTTGTGCACGGGCGATCACGACCATGCACCTGAAGTATGTGGTATTTTCGGTACTGCAAGAGAAGCTGGAATATACACCTCAGCTAGCCAAGGCCCTTGCACCTACCGTTTTGGAGTCCATTGCCGGTCAAAGCGGCTCAAGTTGTCACATTTTCATTCTATTGCAGCTGGCAAACAACCGTCCAAAATGACATCTCTGCTGGCAGTCCCTGAATGTTCATATTTTGGTGATGAGCGGTTTGCCAAATGGTTTTGCTTCTGATTTACTTGATGGTTGATTACAACAATGCACAGTGGTGCAACTGGATTGCAATCAATTTTTCGTGCCTTGTGGAGGCAAGTTGCTTTGAAAGACAGACAGAAAGGGGGGAGAGAACCGTCTTTTTAGTTACTCTGTAGATCGCACCCCTTCACTCCATGTTTTGGGCGATTTAAACGCTGGTAGCTCAGCTGGCGAGGAAGTTCCTCTAGCTTGCAATCGTGGTGAATGTCCATGCAACTGTTCAATTGTTTTGGAGCAAAGGCAAACAACAGAGAACTGCACTGACTGGGTTTTGGTGTGTGTTGGTCCCCGGAGAATTTCTTGAAGAAAGCTGTGTTGGTGGGGCATCCGTTTAAGAATTTTCAGATCTTCTGCCAGAAGTTAAATTGGCTTGTGGAAAGCTGGCGAGTTGGAGCTATGAGGATCTTTAAAAAAAAAACTTGGTGAATGGTTGCGTCTGGCTAAATCTCTTCAAGCTGAGGAGGCGGAAATCAAAAACAGGATGCCTTTAGTCACGAAGCACATCTTGGAAAAGAAGCGTATAGCCCTGATGAGACACCTGATTAAACAGGAGGGGTACGACGACCACACTCTTGCAGATGACATTGAGCGTGGCTTCAGCTTGGTTGGTGACAGCACATTGTCCTCTGTGCTACCTCCAAAACTTGTTCCTGCCACTATTTCAGAAGAAGACTTGCATAGGCATTCTGACAAAGCCAGCAAAGCATTGAGGTATGTGACACGGAGCAGTGGTGATGATGAGCTGGATTGGGGTTTGTGGACAAAAAATTCTATAGGAGGGGGACAAAGGATGGATGCTCGGTCCTTTACCATTGGACGATTTACCCATGGGCGCTGCAGTTCTCGAGGGTTTCCCCTGTCACAATCGGGGAAGGTGAGGCCTACTGATGACCTAAGTCAAAGCCAGGTCAACTCTACGGTGAATACCTACAAGCAGGCTACGGTGGATGATCCTGATGGTATCTGCAGTTAAGCTACTTACTTGATACGATGCTGGGAGAACAGGATCTTTCTACTTGTCTCAGAGGTAGGGCATTGGACCTTGCATCGGTATACAGACAGCTTGTGATTGCAGATGAATCCTTGCAGCGCTCCTACCTTTCTGGGTATGACCCGTCCGGTGGGTCTGCAAAGCTTTTCAGCAAGTGGCTTTACCCTTTGGGTCCAGATCTGCTGTAAACGCCTTTATAAGGTATGCCAGGTTTCTACAGTGGAGTGGGGCTAGGGTTTTCATCCTTCCTTTGACTTGCTACTTCGACGGCTTTGTTGCCTTCTCAATGCCCAATCTGCGCAACAATAGTCAGGCGATTCTGTGCCTGATGCTTGACATCTGTGGGTGGCAATTTGACCGCGAGGGCCCAAAGAGCGATGCATGTTCTGGAGTTGTATTGGCCCTTGGGGTACAGTTTGACTCGGAAGACACACCGAATGGGATTCTAAAAGTTCGCAATACAGCTGAGCGAATTGATGACGCTACTTTGCTGCTGGAAACAATTTTACGTGATGGAAGGTTGGCAAAGAAAGACGCACTGACTTTGCGTGATGCAGTCTACTCTCTGGGATGGTAGCATTATTTCCTGGTTTGGACTTCATGCGGGAACTGAACGTTTTGCTACTCTGACTCATTCGCAATTTCTCTGATTTGCCAAGTGGTGGTGCAGCAGTTGGACGATTTTTACGTCCTCCAGTGGTACAGCCATGTTCCTTCTGCATCAAATTTATCTGATTACCCTTCTAGAAGATCCGACACCGTTTTCTAACAGATTCAAACTGCATTCCCGAAGGGGAAGTTGCACTTGTCTTCAACGAAAGCTTGGAGTGCGTGGAAAGCCACACTAGCATGGGTGGGGACCGTGGCTTAACGAGGCCTGAATGATATCTCCACTGTGCTAGAAAAAGGAGTGAGTGCTGTGCTACCTTTTTCAGTTGTGCATGTTCAGTTTGTTTCTGTTGCTTGTCGGTTTCTCATTTCGTAAGGGTTACGTTTTCGTTCGTTGGCGCAAACTGTAGGGCCCCTGTTTTGTTTACGACGCAAGTTCCACATTTGAGCGCGAATGTGTAGGCCCCCTTTTTCTGTTGACGACGCAAGAACAGGGTATTGCGGAACGGGTTGTTTGGATCAACGGTTTTATGTAGCTTGGAATAAGTTCCGACTCAGCGTGCTGATGTAACCTTATTCCTTGCGGTAAGAAAAAGAAGCTGAGAGCAGCTTCTAGGTGATCCTTCTTCTCCCCGTTCCCTTTTCCTTCTCTTGCGTTGTGCGCTTTGCGTTTCCTCCTTCCTCTGCGTTGCGTCGCGGTGGAAACTTCTGACCTGAGGAAACTTCTGAGTTGGGGGATTACTTGCAGATAGTCTATCTGCTGTGCGTTTGAATGCAAACGTTCTCTGCAATCTGCTTATGTATTTTTATGTTATGACTCTTCAGTGAATCTGTCTCCGCAACTCTGTTTCAGTTTTTCAGCTTGGTGTTTTTTGGTAAACATCTGCTGAATCTTTTTCACAAAGGTGTATTTTGGAACTAAATGCCAATGGTGGCCATTTCAAGTTCAATACCTCCAAAGGGAGGGTGGGAGGGTTCGACGTTTCTTACGTGATTCGTTTTTGTGCCCCCCGCCCCCCCCTACTTTTGTTTTTCAGACGTGCTTTTTGTCTGGCTATCCAGACTCTTTGTCTTATCGCACGTGTATATAGGCCCCTTAACGAGGCCTGAATGATATCTCCACTGTGCTAGAAAAAGGAGTGAGTGCTGTGCTACCTTTTTCAGTTGTGCATGTTCAGTTTGTTTCTGTTGCTTGTCGGTTTCTCATTTCGTAAGGGTTACGTTTTCGTTCGTTGGCGCAAACTGTAGGGCCCCTGTTTTGTTTACGACGCAAGTTCCACATTTGAGCGCGAATGTGTAGGCCCCCTTTTTCTGTTGACGACGCAAGAACAGGGTATTGCGGAACGGGTTGTTTGGATCAACGGTTTTATGTAGCTTGGAATAAGGACTTAGTATTTTCGCTGTGCCTGATCAAGATGGTGTTTGTCATTGGGTCTTTTACCGGACCGCGCACTTTGGTGCTTCCTGGGCGAGTTATTGGTGGTCGCGTTTGGCTGCAGCCTTCGTGAGAACGGGGCACCGCCTACTTCACCATCCACATTTTCTATGCATATATGTAGATGATACTTTTGCGCTTCTACCACGGAAGGTTGCAGGTCAAATGGCGTGCTTGCTCGTCTGCCTTGCGTGTTCGTTGGGGTTTCCACTTTCCTGGCATAAGATGGCGTTTGGGGACTCCCTTCAATGGATTGGATGGGCCTTGCACGTTAGTTAGCGGTGATCCGTGTGTTGTGCTACCAACAGACAAGCGGCAGCTCATCCTGTGCGCGCTCAACAGCATTTGCGCGAGCCCCAAACGTGTGTCGCGTAAAGACCTGCAGACACTGGTTGGCAGACTAGTTTGGTTCTGCGCAGCGGCTAGCTCTCTGAGACCTTGGTTGCAGGTATGGTTTCATGCACTACACAAGCCAGGGCTGCATTTTTTACAGCTTGACATGGTTCAGCTCAGCGAGCTTCATGATGCTATCGACAAAACTTGTAAAGTAGTCCGTGCTTGTAGACATTGCGATGCACAGTCAGGTTGGCGCGTGTTGGAGTTAGCTGGCTCGGGCGTCCGATCTGCCAACGATGTGTTGTCACCCCCGCTAAAGCAAGGCCGTGTCTGGGTGAAATTTGGAGAGCCAGAGCCAAAAATCATCAAGTTCAGCCAAGAGGAGTTAGCTGTGGCACGTTTTTTCAAATGTTCAGATCCCATCCCGCTGGTGGAGAAACCGGGCCCAGTATCAGTAGCAGCTGCAGATGCTTTTGCTGAGGGTGGTCGGTTCGGCATTGGAGGCTGGTTTTTGCTACCAGGTGCTGCGCTACACCCATCCAACATTTATTATTTCACATATCAGCTTCAACACGGTGAATTGCCAAGATGGTTCACCAGACCAGGCAAAGATTTGCAGGCTTATATCGCGGCGTTAGAGGCTTTGGCACAGCTAGTCTTGTTGGATTGCCAGCGACGAGTGATTCAGATGCACAGCAGTTTTGCTTGGATTAGCTTGCGTCAGTTTTGCGACAACGCCGGGGTGGTTTGCGTGTCGCAGAAGGGCCTATCTTTGCGCCAGCCACTTGCTGGTGTGCTTCAATCTACAGCACTATATGCAGCTGAGCATCGCCTGCAGCTGAAAATTACTCGTGTAGCAGGGGAGAGAAATGTCTGGGCTGACGCATTGTCCCGCGGGGCAAGTGTGAACCCTGAGTTCTGGCGGGATTTGGATATCAGCCTGATTGGCATCATTTGTTGAACTTGTCTGCATTTCTTGGCGCCAAGACGACGCAGTGATGCCCAGAAAGTCTCTACGGCCGTCGGGAAGGATTCCCTTGTTCTTTATTTTGGGCATGCGCCCCTCGTACGCTTTCCGGCAAACTGTTTTGCCAACATTTCTCGTCCGCGCTGACGTTTGGGAAGCGTTTGGAAGCGGACGGCATTGGCGACGGCTGGTGCTTTGGGGTGATTCAGCCAGGTGCCAGGCCCAGGGTGCCCTGTGGCCTGGCACCTGAGCCAACATAACTTTTGTCGCCAATGCCGAGTGTGATTGGGCTGGGAACCCTGCTTAAGTCTTTAGGTTTTGGGAAAAGTTTGTTGGGGTTAAGATGGAAGCTGTGGGGTGTTTGAGTGATAGTGAGTGAGTGAGTGGGTGAGTGAGTGAGTGTGAGTGAGTGTGAGTGAGTGAGTGTGAGTGAGTGAGTGAGTGTGAGTGAGTGTGAGTGAGTGAGTGTGAGTGAGTGTGAGTGAGTGAGTGTGAGTGAGTGTGAGTGAGTGAGTGAGTGAGGTGAGTGAGTGTGAGTGAGTGAGAGTGAGTGAGTGTGAGTGTGAGTGAGTGTGAGTGAGTGAGTGTGAGTGAGTGAGTGTGAGTGAGTTTGAGTGAGTGAGTGAGTGAGGTGAGTGAGTGTGAGTGAGTGAGTGTGAGTGAGTGGGTGTGAGTGAGTGAGTGAGTGTAAGTGAGTGAGTGAGGTGAGTGAGTGAGTGTGAGTGAGTTTGAGTGAGTTTGAGTGAGTGAGTGAGTGTGAGTGAGTGTGAGTGAGTGGGTGAGTGAGTGTTTGTGAGTGAATGAGTGAAAGAGGAGGACGGGAGGGGGAGGAGGAAGGCGAATGCAGAACTAAAAGAAAAATGCTATATGTCAATGGGGGGAACAAACCACATCTAAACGAAATGCACGTAACAACTGAAATAAACGCAAAATAACTGGATGATCCTATCTGACAATTTGGTGGTCTCTGATGAGCCCTGCTCTGACTGCATCATTATTTAAATAACACACAACTTGAACTTTATCACGAAAGCTAGCGTCAGCTAGCTGGAGTCTTCTTGCTTTAGCAAGTATTCCGGGGGCTGTTCAAGGACAGCACGTGATTTTTCACACGAAAGGGGGGGACCCCCCCACCACCACCACCATCACCATCATCATCATCATCATCATCATCATCATCATCATCAGCATCTTCATCGTCATCCTCATCGTCATCATCATCGTCATCGTCATCATCATCGTCATCGTCATCGTCATCATCATCATCATCATCATCATCGTCATCATCATCATCATCATCGTTATTCACTTACATTTCATCATTATTGGCAATTGTTGGCATTATCACGAAAGGTAGCGTCAGCTCGCTAGAGTCTTCTTGCTTTAGCAAGTATTCCGGGGCTCCCCAAGGATAACACGTGATTTTTCACGCGAAAGGGCCCCCCCCTGCCCCCTCCCCCATATATATCATTGTTAGATGCAGCTTTTGGAACAAAATCGAATTGTCCTGTCGAATTTGAACAAAGTCATTTGTGTGTGCAGCATTTTGCTTAAGGGTTGGAGTGGGCGGGATCGTAAAACGATTTCTGCAGGTTGGTCAAAAAGATCATAGGGGGTCTTAGGTGTAGTTTCCTAGCTGATGCCATGGAAAGAGCTAATGGGCTCTCTGGTGCGTCTGGAGCTGATGTCGAAATACTGGAAATTGGACCTCAACATGTTGGTAGAGACGTTGAAACCTTGAGTGAACCGTATGAAGCTAGCATTTTGGATGGAGTGAACTTGTTTGGAAACAACCTTCACGATGATGATGCTGAAGTTTTACCTGATGGTTCTGAATGTTCTCAGAACGATTTTGGCTTTCAAAGAGTCTGCAATGGGTTTGATTTGCCAGAGCCTCAAGACCCTAATGCTGCGACTTTGACTCATGGCCCCGATGTCACAGTCTTGAGTGGGACTGCCTGGAACTCATTGCTTGCTCATTCATTTGCGTCCAATTTGCAGCATCATCCATCGCTTTTACTGCCATGGGAAACAGGTACAATGAGGGCTGTGTTTTGTGACGATTCTCTGCCAGACATGTTGCATGGACCCGTGGACATGACAGACTTGAGTTCTTTTGCTCCCCACCGTGAGCCTTCGAGTGTCAGTGCTGTGGACCTCATCCAGTCATCGCCTCAGCCTGCCTACATGAGTGCTGTACAATGTTTGAGGGATTTGGACTACATTGATCAAAAGCGTGCACAGATGTCCCTGGCAGCATCTCACTGGATGGAAATTCTATCCCTGGATTGGAAGGCTTCTCAGGTGGGTGAACAGATTTCAGCTGACCTGCAGCAAGATCCGACTGGAGACCTTGCTGAACAGACTTTGCGTGCGGTTTTCGGTACAAAGTCTGGTTCTACCATTTTGAAACGGGCATCCAGTCTCAAACAGTACATTGCATGGTTTCACAAAACTTGCATTGAGTCAGACACCTATGTTTGTCCACTGCCTCTTGCTGAAGATGATGTTTGGAGATACTTCCTACATCTTAGGGCTTTGACAAGGACCTCGAAACGTGGTTACACTGTCAGTGGAACCTTCTTGGAAACGATCAGATTCTGCAAGTTTGTGCTAGGGCTTTATCGCAGTGATGACATTCTTGCCTCAAAGAGATTGAATGGATTTGCAGCGGTTGAGAAACGAGAGAAGGGGCCCTTAAACCAGACCCCGCCCTTAGAGGTGGAACATTTGCAGCGTCTGCATGAGGTTTTGGACAAAGGTGCAAACGACATAGACCGCATAGGTGCAGGAGCTTTTCTCTGCGCCATTTATGCGAGAGCAAGATGGAGCGATTGCGCTACATACACCACATCAAATACGACGGTTACAAAAGGAATGCAACTATGGACCTTTACACTGCTGAGCACAAAACAAGTACAACAGGTCTCAGACGGGAACAATTCCTCCCACTTGTCATCCCTTCAGAGGGAATTGTTCATGGCGATTGGCTGGGGAAGTTCATAGAACTATGCCACAGCCAGGGAACTGAATGGGAAAAAGTGCCATTTGGGCCACTCCTTCCAGCCCCAAAGCCAGAGGGAGGATGGTGCGTGAGGCCATTGAGTACAAGCGAGGCAGCGGCTTGGCTCAAAAGACTGCTGGAAGGGTGTAGTGGTGCAAGCGCCATTAGGGCGCACTCCATGAAAGTGACCTTGTGCGTTTGGGCTGCAAGGGCTGGTTTCAGCAAGGAGCATCGTGCAACGTTGAGTCATCATGCTACTGCTTTGAATGGGTCAGACATAGTTTACTCGAGGGAACTGCAGACTGGAGCAATTCGCAAGCTACAGATGCTCTTGAAGAAAATCAGAGTTGGCTTGGACCCCAGGTCTGACAAAGAGCCGTTGCAAGAAATCACAGCTGCGTTTGACTCTGGTCACAAAAGCGTTGTCAGGACTCCGATGTTTGAGGCCCATGCTCCCTGCACACCAATGTGAGACCAAGGGATGATGGAACCTTTCCGCTTGGAGAGAGGCTTCTTGAGCTCAGAGGAGATCCAACCATTACGTTGTACCTGGCACCACTGGCCCGGCAGAACAGTGCACCAGCAGCTAGTGCACGGCCGGCACCCTACTCAACAGGTGCCCCATCCAAGCCCAGTGGTGGGAGTTTTGGAGGAGGAAAAGGTAAAGGAAAAGGAAAGAAGGGAAAGGCGCCACCTATGCCACAGGCGCTTCGAAACAAGTGGCACAGGACGGGCAATGGTGACCCTCTGTGCTTCGCCTACAATTTAGGCGGTTGTGATCAAGCAAGAGACGGAGAACGGTGCCCCAAAGGCTGGCACCTATGTGCGGAGCCGAAATGCCTCCAACCGCACGGGCTCAGTGCACATCCTAAAAAGAGCTCTTGACGGTGTCCGAAAAACTGGGCTGACACTTTGCTCAACCAATGTTTCATGATTGAACTATACAGTGGGACAGCAACGTTGTGCTCAGTTGCAAAACAATTTGGAATGCAGGTCTCACTTGCGCTTGACAAGATGCGCAAGAGGGGCGCAAGATCTACCATTTTTGTGTTTGACATCCTCAATCCCAAGGATCGAGCTTTGTTATACCACTGGTTGGAGTCACCGCTCCTTGTTTGGGTGCACATGGCACCGGTCTGTGGAACTTGTTCAAGGGCACGACAGATCCGCAATGGTGGACCACGTGCTCTGAGATCAGACCAATTTCCAATGGGATTGCCAACTTTAACTGCTGCAGAAAGGCACCGTATAGAGCTGGCCAACTCCATGTATTGGGAAACGTGCAAGCTTTTTGGTCACTGCGTTTCTTTAGGAATTTTGGTGACGCTTGAAAACCCCTCCAGAAGTTTGTTCTGGCTCACTGAACCCTTCCTACAGTTGCTGGCTGCGTTTGACATTTTCTTCAGCAACACACAAATGTGTATGATGGGAGGTTCACGTCCTAAATGGACCAAGTTGGCAGCAAGCTTCTCAGAGATATCCGAGATGGATGTCGAATGCGACAACAGTCATAGCCACCTGCCATGGGGAAAAACCTTGGATGATGAGGGAAACGAAGTTTTTGCAACAAGCTTAGAAGCGCAGTATCCCAGAAAGTTCTGTCATGCTTTGGTTCAGTGCGTAGTACGGCAATTGCAAAGGCAAGGCATGCAGGTCCTTCCTGACTCACTTTTTGATGTCAGAAATGAGCGAGTTTTTGAGATGCAGACGGCTCGAATTTCAGCGCAACAGCAGTCACGGCGCAGCAAGCTCCCACCTTTGATTTCTGATGTGGCCTCAGTTGCAGTTTTCTTTGTTCAGCAGCCGTCTGATGTCCCTTTTTCGTTGCAAAGTAAACTGGACAAACCTTTGAATGTTTTCACTGAGTCAGGCATGCCAGCACAGGTACCAAAGTTTGCCAGGTTTTTGCGAAGGACTGCCACTCATTCACCATTTTCTGTTCAGGGGGGTCTGCAAAACGGCGATGAGTGTTTCGAAGTTGCTTTTGGCATGCCATGGACGCCTGAACAGTTTATTTCAAAGGCTGTGGAAAGGGGACACCCAGCAAATTTTTGCAAACTGATTCTGCATGACTTGGAGGAAGTGATAGAATTTCATGTGCAGCACTCCACTTCGGAAGTGTCTGAGCACAGGCTTTCATGGTGCAAGCGATGGCTCCAACGAGCAGCAGCGCTGGACAGGGAAGAAATGCAAGGAGCCACAATGCGGCACCCTTCCACCTTGAAAAAGCGGATTAAGTTGACGAAGGAAATCTTGGAAAGTTTGCAATATGAAGATATCGACGCCCTCTAGATCCTTGAGGAGGGATCGACTTTAGCTGGAGAAATTGAGGGCGCAAAAGTTTTTCAGCAAGCGTACAAACCATGTCTTTCCACCTTGGAGCAGCTTGAAGAGAACGCAGAGAAGAGAAACCTGTTGGTCTTGTCAATGACCAAGAGCTCGGCATCTCCTGATTTGGATGCGGCAGTGCTGCAAGAAACAAGAGATGAGGTCAACAAAGGTTGGGCGGATGGCCCATGGAGCTTGGAGCAACTTGAAAAAGGTGCGACTGTCTCTCGACGATTCCCCCTAGCACAGGGGGAGAAAGTGCGCATGATAGATGATTACTCCGTGTCTGGGGTCAACGACAGTTGCACCGTAAACTCAAAATTGGATTTGCACATGATCGACACTTTTGTAGCGGTGATCAAGGCATACTTCGAGCAGATGAAAGGAGCCATGGCTGATAGCAGCCTTCTTGCCAAGACGTACGACTTGAAAGCAGCGTACCGCCAAATCCCGGTGCGCAAAGACCACTTGAAGTATGCCTACTTCAGCATCTACAATCACGAGCGCGATACAGTGGAAATTTACCGCTCACGAACGTTGCCATTTGGAGCCACCCACAGCGTTTACTTGAGACTTGCAAAGATGTTGCACTTCATAGCTTGCAAGGGTCCAAAGCTGTTGACGACAAACTTTTACGATGATTTTATTCTTGCAAGCAGCCCAAATCTTCAAGACTCTGCAAAGAATTGCCTTGAGCTGGTCTTCATGTTCACAGGTTGGGAGTACGCTATAGGGATGGGAAGAAAGCCACAACCTTCTCCAGCGTATGTGCAGCACTGGGCGTTTCTTTTGATCTTCGTGACTCCAAGGACGGTATCCTGGAGGTGAAAAACACTGAAAAACGGATCTCTGATTTGACCCAGCAGCTCCAACAGGTATTGCAACAGCGGTCCTTAAACCGTCATGAGACTCTGAAGTTGAAAGGACGTCTTGGATTCGCTGACGGATTCTTGCACGGGAGATTGGGCGCTTTGGTGCTCAAGCGGTTGGTGGATCATGCCTACAGTTTTAGCAATGTGGTTGACAGCGAGTTAGCAGCAGTTTTGGAGCTTATGATCAAACGTTTGCAGTGTGCTGGACCCAAACGAGTCGATGCAAACACGGTGAATGAATGGAGCATTTTCACTGATGCTTCATTTGAAACTGAACTTGGTTCTGGTGGTCTAGGAGGAGTTCTTGTAGACTGCTTGGGTAACTGCCGTGCTTGGTTTTCCTTGAAGCTTGAACCGAGCGAATGCAAGCTGTTAGGCGCTGACAGCAAGGAGACAATAATATATGAACTGGAACTGTTAGCATGCTGCATAGCCATGGATGTGTGGGGCAATGTTTTAGCTTCAACATATCCTGTACTTTATGGAGACAACGACAGTGTGTGATTTGCGTTGATCCGAGGTACTGGCCTTGGACTTGTTGCGGAAGTCATCATGAAGCAGCATCTTGAAGCAGAAGTAAATTACAATACAAATGTCTGGTTTGCACGAGTGCCTTCAGAGGCGAACATAGCTGACATACCATCGCGCTTCCTTCAACACGCTTTCCTGCAAACTTCAATGGATGAGTCAAGCAAATCCATGCAGAGTTTAGCGAAATTCCTGAAGAACGTAAAGCTGGCTCGCGAGGAGGTGAAGAGAAAAGGGGAGGCAATCACCTCGTCGCTCCCCAAGTTTAAAAAGGAGTCAATCAGCAGCTGCACCAAATGAAGACTTGACGATGCAGCTTTTGGAACAAAATCGAATTGTCCTGTCGAATTTGAACAAAGTCATTTGTGTGTGCAGCATTTTGCTTAAGGGTTGGAGTGGGCGGGATCGTAAAACGATTTCTGCAGGTTGGTCAAAAAGACCCACCCACAATCCACCCTTTTGCCCAACAGTTTTCACCAAGATTTCAGGAGCCTAACCCAACCGTCAGGCAATCACCTCGTCGCTCCCCAAGTTTAAAAAGGAGTCAATCAGCAGCTGCACCAAATGAAGACTTGACTATATCATATATCATATATCATTGTTGCATCCTCGTTGGGACGAACAATGCCGCGACACGATGATGACAGTTCCTCCGCAACTCACCTCTTCCCTTCCTTCTTTCTCCTACCCCGCTAGCTTTCGTCATCCACCCCCGGCCTCAAGTTTAACCAGGAGCCCCACAACATATAAGAATGAATAGAGGCAATAATTTAACTTCGTAATTATATGGGATATGAAGATTTACGATTTTGTGTTTTTAAATTAATTCGGCAAATTATCTCTGAACATTACAACGACACGTCCTGTAGGGCTAACCAAGACACCTCCGACCGAGGAGCCTTTCTTACAAGCCCCGTCCGTAAAAATAATCCATAAATCAGGATTTTTTTCGAAATTTCAACAGGTGTACTACCCTCAGCACGGAGCAAGAGCCTGTTCAAAGCAACTTGCAACTCGTCCTCTAAAGGGCGAGAGGCTTTGGGCATGGGGAGCTGAATGTCTCTTTGACATGCTTGGTATCTTATTTTCAAAAGAAGGCAAAAAGGCCACCCAATTCGATCGCCGCTTCAATTCGCTGGGCATAATTTTTAATTTATACATATAATGGATAAATTGATTTTCGTGGGACACACAGAATCTCGCCTGGAGCTAGCTGAAATTTGAAAGAGATGTGTATGAATGGGCACTACAACACCAAAATTGTGGAAAGGCTCCGGAAACGACTCATGTGGTTTGAAAATTTTGTCTGTGGGAGGTAAGCCAATTTCCTTGTGTCTTGTTTAGGAAAATGCATTTCAGGCTCGTATTTTTGGCACAATCTTCTCGGCTGAGTACTGTATAATCGTTATAGAAGGCAATTCA